GGAGTTTGACTTCTTTGGTTTTATAGTTCTTATCCTGAAACTTGAATAATGGTTTCCATAAAATGCAATATGAAATTTTAGAAAAGAAAGTCTTATTGATACTGCATTTTGTGCCAGTGGCAAGACACAGGAGGACAGAGTCCCCTGATTTGCATTCTCTGGGGTCCCTTACACACTTAGGGTGAGAGTTGGCTCCAGCTTTGTCTCCTATGCTGTCCTCCCTCCCCTTGGAGCCAGGGAAGAGCTGTGTGAGCTTCCAGCACTGCCCCACTCACAGTCTATAGGACTGCCCTCTGCTGCCATGGGGCCTCCTGGAGAAACTCCATGGGCCAAGCTGCGCCCATGGGGACTGCTGTTGTACTACAATTAGCTGGTATGACTAGCCATGGGATGACTGCTCTGCACCTCTGCCATGTCCCTGCTGATAGAGCCACCTGTCTCCCGTCTAATGGCTTCAATCGTCCCCGTACAATAGGGTTCACAGGGGAGTCTGTGAGGTGTCAGTGATTGGCATTATACTTGGCTCATGTCACATCCTGAAAGATAAAGGGTCTCTTTGAAGAGTCTTCCACCCACCAGCCACCTCTATTTTGCAAAGTGTCACTTAGCAAAAGGCTCAATGTGCCTTTTACTGAGTAGCTGCTCCCTTGTCTTCACTTGTCTGTGATGAAGGACAGTCAGTTCATCCCAAAGAAGAGATGATTGTCACCACAATCCTGGGGACCTTTTAGTCTCCCTACAACTCTAGGGGTGAGCTTTGCTTCCCTCAGGGAATGGCTGTTCCTGATGATAACATACCATGACTGTGAGCAATACTGACATGGGACCCCCAGACGACTCAGTAAAACACACAGTTTTATTCATGATGAGCAAAGCCTATGGTTCCAAGATGAAGCTGAATGGTAAGTCACCTACCGTGTCTCAGACTTTTGTGTTTTTTGGGAATTGACATAATGATTCTACTTTTCATTTTAGCCAGATAGGACATTAATAAAAATCTACTATCTTATATTCTGTCACAAAACAGAAAAAAAGCCTTTTATTATAGCATAAAATATATTATTAAATTGAATAGACTTAGCTTTGTGATTCTTATTTTCCCCAGTTCACTGAGGCTGGGTAAAAAGTGGTCCAGGAACTGGCTCTGGTCACTGGTCATGAGCTGGGAACCACTCTTATGAGAACCTTGTTCATTTAACTGAGGTGTTGTTGAAGGTCCTCTTTCAATTCAACAGCAATGGTACCCTTCCCCGTCCTCTTTGCTCAACCTGTCCATATCTTTATAATACATTTGAATATTATTTGTTGTTTTGTATTGACTTCTAATGGTTTCATGTGTGAATAACTTCTCTCTTCCAACCAGACTGTAATGCTAGGTAAACAGAAGGTACTGAACAACTAATTATTAGAATTTATTTCTATAATACACACTGGTATGTTGTTTAGAGGACTGTCAGCTTTTCACATGTATATGTGTGTGTATGTGTGTTTGTTTGCATGTTTTGGAATTCTGCTGGAATCCTCAATATGCATAGGTACATAGATGAAAGGTGCACAGTTTTGAAGAATTAAACAAGCTTTGTAAAGTAAAAAAACCAAGCCTTTGGAGCCAAGTATCCACCATTGCCTTCACTTTTTAATGAGGCTGGAAAGATGAACTAAGTATTGAGTCGACGTGGCCCTGCATTTGAAGTATCTTGAAAGTCTCTCATCATTTTTGATGATTTAGTAATACTGTAGGGTGTAGCCAGTAGTTGAGATTTTCCCATAAAATATCAGAATTGTTTTTCATGTACTTTTTTATTTAAAAAATCATAAAATGCTCCTTAGAGTGACAGCTCAGTTTCAATATTTATGACGCTCTAATTGCTCTAGCCATTTAGAAAAAAATAAGTTGAGTTCTCAAGTTAAATTTAAGTGGAAAAGACTAAAATTCAGAATTATGGTCTTTTTTTCATTTGAATGAACATTCACTTTTTGCTGGAAGTTTTATGCACCAGCACTAGCTTCTCTATATTCAACAGTCCTCGAAAAAGTACTTAATTTCTTTCTTGAAAATATATGAACATCTTTGTAATTTGAAAATAAACTCTTTGGATCAGTACAACTTCCCCCCCAGTTTTATTCTACTTTGGACTGTAAACCAAGCACACATGATCTATCTTCAAATGAATGACTCCGTGTGGGCACGAGCTGGAGAACATACGAGTGAGTGAAAGGGATATGTGGCAGGACATCATTCTGTGGGGGGTATTTTTTTTTTCTTTTCTTTTTTTTTTTTATTGCTTAAAGCATTACAAAGGGTATTACATATGTGTCCTTTCTTTCCCGCCCTTGACAATACCCCGGCTTCCCCTACCCCCCAGTGTTTTATGACCATTGGTTATGCTCATATGCATGCATACAAGTCCTTCGGTTGATCTCTTACCCCCCTCCCTCCTGCCCCCCAACCCTCCCTGGCCTTCCCGCTGCAGTTTGACAATCTGTGTGAGGCAGCTCTGCCTCTGTATCTATTATTGTTCAAAAGATTATAATGGTCTCTATTATCCAAGAATGAGTGAGATCATGTGGTATTTTTCCTTCATTGACTGGCTTATTTCACTTAGCATAATGCTCTCCAGCTCCATCCATGCCATTGCAAATTGTAAGAGTTCCTTCTTTTTTACAGCAGCATAGTATGGATTAGAAAACTGTGGGGGGTATTTTTAACTGCTCTGATTTATGATATATGCATGGCTGACTTGTGATATGTGCTCAAAGCTGTTCAACCATTTACCCTTTTGTGAGTTCTTGTTTTCCTGAATGAGGTTTCAGATTCATATGTAACAAGTCTTCTGTCTAAATTAAATCTCATTTCCTTTCCCAAGATGCAAGCCTTTGGAGCCAAGTATCCATCGTTGCCTTCATTTTTTAATGAGGCTGGAAAGATGAACTAAGTATTGAGTCGACGTGGCCCTGCATTTGAAGTATCTTGAAAGTCTCTCATCATTTTTGATGATTTAGTAATAATGTAGTGGGTAGCTGGTAGTTGAGACTCTCCCATAAAATATCAGAATTGTTTTTCATTTTCTTTGATCACTTTAGAATTTTGTCATTGGTTACTTTTCTTTAAATGATATATTTCTACAGCTACTTAATGGAGTGTGTTGTTAATATGTGATTAATCTTTTGAGGGGAAGAATAATATGACTGTCCCTTCAAGGAGTATGTAATATAACTTCATTATTACTAACTCAAACGTCTGTAAAAGTGATTATGGATTTGGCTAAAGAAAAATGGACACTGTTGACAAATAACCTCAGAAAGGGGATAAGGAAACATCCTACTTCCCCCAAAACACTCACTATAAATATAAATTTTATTATACTTAATTAAAATGTTTAAGTTTTAGTAAGTATTTCCTTGTTGCAGTTTTTCCTGATTAATTAATTCTGTCAACAAATATTTGTTGAAAGTCTACCAAGCCTTGTTCTAGGTGCTGGGAGTATAGTCCCCTTTATTCATGGGGGATACTTCCAGAAGCCCCAGTGAATGACCGAAACCAGGGATGGCACCAAACCTTATGTTTACTATCTTTTTTGCTATACAGACATATACTTTATAGCTTTTCTTTGGCACACCCAAATTGCACCTTGGAGCATTATTAAGTAAACTGAAGGCTACTTGAACACAAGCACTTTGATACCAGGACAGTAGATCTGATATCAGGGTGAGGTATTGAGGGTCGTGGGGGTTTTGTGCCAGTGAGGGTGAGGTTAGTATATACATACAGTGGGGACAAGCTGGACCGCACAAGATTTCATCATGGTGCTCAGAATGATGCACAATTTAAAACTTATGAATTGTTCATTTTTGAAATTTTCCATTTAATATTTTTGAACTGTAGTTGACCATCAGTAACTGAATCCTTGGAAAGCGAAACTGTGGAGAAGGTGGGAACTACTGTAGCAAATACCACAGAGGAAAACTGCCTTTGTGTGGTTGATAGTCTAATAAATCCTGATGAACTAGTTTATATTTTTTTAAAAACTTGTTATGTGAGCTTATTGAGCTTTCTATGAAAGACCCAAACAGTGATATATTGCAGACTAACTAATAAAGGAACCAAAATGAATAATTCAGAATTTGATTCCCAGGGCAGCATTGTGCAAAGGGGTGTGGTAAAACACCCTTTTTGTAGATTTGACATTTGAGCAGTAGCAGGTGCAAATTGTGGTGAATAAAATTAACTCAGCTATGAAGAACGTAACACGAAAAGCAGAAATTGTCAGGATTGTTTCCAAAAGGCATTGTGACTGCGTCCTCCCAAACATGTATGAAAGCATTCTATTAGGCCAAAGACAAAATCATCCTTGCATTTGATCTAAGGAAAAGGATTTTTTTTCCCCTAAAAAAACCCCACTTGGATTTGGTCAATTTTGGAGTTTTGAGGTTGGGGTAAAACTTTAGGCAGAGCTGATCCTAGTTACAAATGAGAAGGCAGAGTTTGGGCACCCACCCCTCCCGTCTCCTATTTACCCCTTCCTCCAGCTGACTTATGATGTCTCCTGCTATGCTCCCCTTGGGAGGAAAGTACTGGACCTTCCTTCCAGAGACCTGAGCTTCAACTCCTCCTGTGCTATTTATCCTTCATGTGAGCATGAACAAGCCATTTTGCCAAGCCTCAGTTTTCTCATCTACAAAATAGAGATAAGAATACCAACCTCAGAAGGTAATGATGAAGATTAAATAGACTGTTTGTGAAAATGCCTTGAAATGATTAACAACAAGAATTAGCATAATAGCTAACACTTCTTTAAGGAACCGGGCAAGAAAGCTCTGAGAAAGACAGAAACTCTCTAGATACTAAAGACTGCCCAGTGGAATGGCGAGTGGTGGAGGTTTTATTTTGGTTAGTGCTTCTGTTAGATTGTGTCTTAAATTATACCATGGGTAAGGCTGCTTCCTCTGCCGACAGAACTTATGTCAAGCCCAGCTTATTCAGATCCCCAAGTACTCACTCTTGCCAGGCTGGTCCCAGATGGAACTTTATAAGGGACGTACTTCCTGTAGATATGACCAACTCTAGAACATGGAACATCGAACATTTCTCCTCCACACATCCAAACCTAAAGAGAGGTAATTTCAAAGTATGAAAAAAAGAAACCCAGAAAATTCCATACAAAAAAGCAAGACTCAAAAACGTATTAAAATCTCTTAAAGTCTCAAAATGAGTAATTTCTTTTTATAATAAATAGCTAACCAAGAAAGAAAACCACATTTTCAAAAACCCAGATTCATAAAAGTATAGAGCCAAAATACTAGTTTAGTAAGATCTAATTTCCACAGACATCGTGGCATTATTTTTATTCTAGAATTTTATTATAAATATTACATTGAACTGAAATTTAATGCTTACACATCTTAGTTATATAGATATTTGTTTTGAAAGTCTTGTGAAATCGTTTGAAGAAGTAACATTAAATTTTAAATGTCAATTTAAAATATAAAAAATGGAATTTTTAAAATAAATTAATGAATTAAGGAACACATATCTATGCTTGAAGTTACATCTGCGTGCTAATTTTTCCCACCCTTGATTTTTTCTTAGGTAAAGAAATTAATTGGCTAGTGATATGGAAAAAGGAAATATTATGCCTGAGTTATATGTTAAAATGCTGTACTTATATATAGTAACAAAAATTAATTGGTTATATTTTATCATGACTACCCACTTAGACACACACTTAATAACGATTTTATATATAACAGACTATTTACTACAAAAGGACAAATTAGACACATACTTAATCATGATTTTATATATAACAGACTACTTACTATAAAAGGACAAAGGACTATCCTATATAAGAGATAATATGCAAATTAACCCTCACGCCCTCATAAAATGGCTGCCTACGACCAGGCTGACAGGGGGGTTAGTGATGGACAATCAAATGACTGAACAAGCAGGCTGGGTGGGGCAACCAGGCTGACAGGGGGGTTAGTAATGGACGACCAAACGACTGAACAAGCAGGCTGCGTGGGGCGACAAGGCCGGCAGGGGGGCCATGAGGGGCGATCAGGCTGGTGGGGGGGGGGGGTCAGTAAGAGGTGACCCAATCAGGCTGGCACACAGAGGCAGTGAGGGGCAATCAGGCAGGCAGGCAGGTGAGCGATTAGGAGCCAGCGGTCCAGGATTGTGAGAGGGATGTCCGACTGCCAATTTAGGCCCAATCCCCGAGGGGTCCCAGATTGGAGAGGGTGCAGGCTGGGCTGAGGAGACCCCCCCCGACCCATGCACAAATTTTGTGCACCAGGTCTCTAGTTTACTATAAAAGAATTACTTACTATTAAAACAAAAATGCAAACTTCATATGGGCTAGATTTTTAGCTATTTCAATTATAACAAAAAAATTAAAAAGAATTAGATACTATTATGGTTAGCTTTATAAGTCAACTTGGCTGCACTACAGAGCCTAAATATTTGGTCAAATATTCTATACATTTTTATAATGGTGTTTTTTGAATGAGATTAACATTTAAATTGGTAGACTTTGAATAAAGCAGATTACCCTTCATAATGGAGATGGATTTTACCTAATCAGTTGAAGGCCTTAATAGAACAAAGACTAACCTCCCCAAAGCAAGAAGAATTCTGCCAGCTATCTGCCTTTGGACTTGAACAATAGCTCTTCCCTGGGTCTTCAAACTGCTAGCCTATCTTACAGATTTTGGACTTACCAAGCTTCCCCAATGGTGTGAGCTGATTCATTAAAATAAATCTCTCCTTTTATATATGCATATCTTGTTGGCTCTGTTTCTCTGGAGAACCCTGACTAAAACAGGTACATAGATTGTTTTAAAGTATAATATTGAAAGGAAGAAAGATAAATGTTTATGTCTTAGCTTATATTCACTTCCTACTTTTCTCATTAAGAGGAATGACACCCCATCTAAGACTGGTGAACAAATAGTGATTAGAGTGAATGGAAGTCCAAGGGAAAGGCAATTCAATTATTAAGACAATATTAAGGCCCTAGCCAAGTGGCTCAGTTGGTTGGAGCGTCGTATGGTACACCAAAAGGTTGCAGGTTCAATTCACAGTCAGGGTACATACCTAGGTTGTGGATTTGATCCCTGGTTGGAGTGCACGTGGGAGGCAACCTATCAATGTTTCTCTCTCACATTGAAACGTGGGAGGCAACCTATCAATGTTTCTCTCTCATATTGATTTTTTTTCTCTCTCTTTCTTTTCCTTTCTCTCTCTAAAAATCAATAAAAAACATATCTTCGGGTGAGGATTTAAAAGAACAACAACAACAATACTCAGTTGTTCTAAATGGGTTTAGGACTACTCATGGTATTAATTTTAACTTGATGAGGTAGACATCAGAAGTATGTATGGATGATATAAAGCTGGTTGGGGCAGTTAACATTCTAAACTGTAGTACCAACATCCATAAAATCTCAAGAGGCTGGAGCTATATAAGATTAAAGTTTAATAAGAAGGGTAAATATAAGAATCTGTCCCATTTCTAAAAGAATCAATGCATCCAGAGAAGGATGGGGTGGAAAAAGACTAAGCAGCATAAAACACACATCACCAACATGATATGAAGAATTTAGGGAGTAAGAGTCCTGATCTATCTGACTAAAGTCTTATGCTAATTTCTGAGTAAATGCTGTATATTCTCTTTTATAGAGAATTACCAAGTGGTAAAGGATGCAACTGTGTTTTAGGAAAAATAATGGAAAGAAATGGAGACGTGTAGTCTTGCTAAGACAAAATTCAGAGAAATCTTTTTCAAATATTTAAAGACCTAATATTTGGGTTTCGGGAGTCAGAATCCTGATCTATCTGACTAAAGTCTTATGTTAATTTCTGAGTAAATGCTTTATATTCTCTTTTAAAGAGAATTACCAAAGTGGTAAAGGATATAACTGTGTTTTAGGAAAAATAATGGAAAGAACTGGAGATGTGTAGTCTTGCTAAGACAAAATTCAGAGAAATCTTTTTCAAATATTTAAAGACCTAATATTTGGAAGAGATGGTCTATAGAAACTCAAAGAGATAGAAAGAATTAATAGGATAGAGCTATAAAAAGTCAATTTCAACTCAGTGGAAGGAAAGACTTTTTAATAGACAGAATGATTAAAGATGTGTTGAAATCAGTGGTAGATGACACTTTGGAGACAAGCATATAACTTTGAATGGATAGTTGATCTAGTTAACATTTTAAGGTAATTCTAATATTAAGAGTTAGCATTTATGAATCCTTACTATGCCCTTTTTCATTTAAAGCTCACAACTCAATGACAGAATTTACTATTCCCCCAATTACATAGGTGGGAAAATGGCAGTCTAATGGCCGAGTAACTTGCCCAAGGCCACATAACTGGCCACCACAAGAATGGAGATTTGAATACTAGTAGTATCACTCCAGTGTTCACATGCTTAATCAATATTCTATCTACAAAGTCAGGAAACTTTGTTTGCGGTGGTCCAGATAGTAAATACTTTTACTTTAGGCTTTTAGGTCATATGGTTTCTCCTTCAACCAGGCAACTCTGCTAAGGACAAGGTGTGGCCATATTTTAATAAAACTTTGTTTACAAAAACAGGCAGTAGGCCATAGTTTGTTAACCCCTGTTCTACAAGGTACAAAGTCCTTTCGAACATTGAAATGCAGTGATTCTATATGTGGGAGAGTGTGGAAAAATGCAATTGGATATTACAAAATCTCCCATTGCCCATGCTCCTCTACAATGTGACCTTGGTACCCTCCCATTGAGGTGTGGGTCTACATTCCTTCTTGAATTTGGGTGGGCTTGTGACTTCTTAGACCAGGGGAGTATAGATGAAGTGAGTGAGGCTAGGTGATGAAAGGCAATGTAGCTGCCACCTATCCTCCGGGGCACTTGTTTTTATAACTGAGATGCCATGTAAAAAAATCTTGAGGCTACCCCATTGTGAGAAAGTCTAGGCCACATGAGAAGTCATGTGAAGGTGCTTGGGTCAATAGCCTCAGTGTTTTAATGCACAGCCAGCATCAACTGCCAGACATGTAAGTGAAGATTCCTCTACATGATTTTACATGTAGCTATTGAGTTACACCCAACTGAGGCCCCATATATCATGAAGCAGAAATGAGCTATACCTCTTTGAGCCTTCTCTAAATTTGGGACCCATAGAATGCATGAGCTTAATACAATGGTATTTTATGTTGTTAAATTCTTGGGTACTTGGTTTTGCAGCAATAGTAACTGGAACTACATATTTCCAAATCCATGATAAAGGTGAACTGCTAACACAGATAACCAAAACTTATGGATCACCCACCAATCTCATCTTATCTTATTGTGGGAGATACAGCTCTAGGTCTCACCAATTTCTCTTTTTACTTCTTCTTGGGTTATAGGCTATAATCATCTTCCTGCTAGTTTATAATATCCAGCTCCTCTGTATGAGATGGGGCTATATGATTATTTCATGCCAGTGGAATGCGAACAGAAATGAGGTGCATTGCCTCTGGGCCAAAATAATTAAGAGTGGATTTTCTTTTCTACCTTCTTCAGGATTTACTGTTTCCCTCAGAGCCTGACAGACTACAGAAGATCCAGAGAAGGGGTCTGACTCCCGGTTAGATGGTGACATCACTAAATACATGGGGCCTCGGACCCTGACAACCTGGATGGAGCAGAGCAGGCTCCTCTCCCAACCTGGGCCAAGTTGTGACAGGGCCAATAGAAGAACTTTGTTATCAAGATTTTGGAATTGTTACAGCAGTGAGTCCACTCTAATAATTTTTCATTAGCAATAATTGCACCTCAGATAAACCTCATTGGTTATGATATAGCCACTGCACAAAGCTTTAATAATTTTTTAAAAAAGAAAATCATATACAGTGAATGTAATCATTTGAGGGATTATTTTCTTTGATTATTTATGCATTTTAAAGAGGTCAAATTTGAAAGAATTTGACCACAGCCAAAGGAGTGGATAATGAGAGGGCAGAGGATGTTAGATAGTCATTTGTGTAATAAAATGTCAGTTCTTATTGGTCAAAGCTAAGAAAGTGTCAAGGCAAAGAAGCCTTCGTCTACAGCTGGAGATAGTAACAGATTA